GCAGAATCCGGAAACATTACTTTGAAAAGCTCTTTGGAATGATCCGAAACAGAAAGCGGTAGATTATGTTCAATTAAAAAACGAACAAAATAGCATTCGGCTTTTATAGGATCTGTTTCATTATCTTTTATTAAGAAATTTGTTATTTCTTTAGATTTTACGGTGCCAAGTTCTATATGCTTTTGAGAAAACACATGCCGTTTACAGTCATCTTTTCCGCCATGAGCAACTGAGAAGTCTTTGTTGCATACACTGCAGTGTGCGTGATTCACAGAAATTTCGGACGCTTTAATGCATGGAAATTCTGAAGAATATGAATCTTTAAACTTCTGCTTTGATAATTTTGGCTTCTTCGTTCGAGGCAGCATTATGATTAAAAAAACTTTCACCTGATTCACAGTTCACAAGACACACGCTAAGCTCTCGCCGTAAACTACACAATGCAGCCGAATGCAGCCTAAAACACGCATCAGCGAAGGAACCTGGGAGACAGATAAAGTAGAGACAAGAATGTCTATGTACAATACAAATTCTTTGGTGGAATGTTGTGGGGTAACTATTGATAAGTCGTTAACGGTTGGAGTTACTGATCTACGATTGGCTAATTCTTCAAAACTAGGAACGCACTCAACACGTGGGATGAATTAGTTGGTTCCGTTTTGCGTACTGGTTCTCCTGCTCTTGTTTCTGTAAAATCCGTAGTTTTTTCCATACTTTTCGTAGCTCGTAGTTTTTCATGAATTTCCGTAGAAACTACGGAGAATCCGTAGTAGTTGGAGTCTATGCATATGTACATAATTATATATAAAATTGTAGGTTTGTTTTGTATATGTAACATGAAAATCTAAAATGCCAGGAAAATAAGAATACAAGGGCACGTCTATTTAACATTTCGTAAATGGCTATCTCGCTAATTTGGTGAGATATCACCAAGTGGGCAATGGTTTTGGCCTTATTTTTTTCGGCAATCTGGCGAGAAATCGCCCAAACTTGCTGACCATTTAGTAAAATTTTGGTCTGGTCCCTGTATAGTTGTAATAGGTATTGCAATTGAGTAACTGTAATTAATCTATATATGTAAGTGTAACATATCCGGCTCTTAGGTGTAACTTTAACCATTATGTACATGGCGGTAATTTCAAGAAATGGAATTTACAAATTTCTGGGTGTCCAGGTAAAAACTATAAGTCATATACTAGTCAGAAGAGAGCATCTGCTCTCAGTAGTTGTTAGTTCAAAGCGACTTTGGAGTAGTGAGGTATCCGTAAGAGCTCCACATTTTAGATGCACTTTGTAATGCACTGTGTTTAACATTATTAGTAGTTTGAAGAGTAACTACTGATTGCAATTTGTGATACTGTGAAGAGCTGTACAAATATTTTTGTAGAAAGTTTAAGAATTGCAAAGTGTCCCTGTTTGGTAAAATATATTTCATCAAGCTATCATCAGTGCAGTGTCCATTTGATCTATTATGAACCCGAATGCACACAACAATATTAATAATTTGAAATATGTAAAGAAAAAAGTAGCATCTCAGATGCAACACATACATTTTCATCTGGTTAGTTGTATAAGGAAAGCTGCTCAGCAAAAGTTTTAGAGAATAATAAACAATTACTTTCTGAAAAATTTAGCAGAAGTTTGTTAAAATCAGTTCAACACTCACTGAAGATTAAATTCAATTTGCAGATCAATTTTATGCACAGCTTCCCCCCAAAAAAATATGCTGTTACTATGTCTACTATGATAGATGTTAAATCTTTTGCTGCCTTCAATAACCCTTATCTGATGCCCAAATGATATCGGTTAAAAATAATAATAATAATAATAATAATAAAACTAATAAAGTCACTATAAACAAAGTGAAATACAATACTTTATAGATATGGCAAAATATCTATAAAGTATTTCACTTTGTTCATAGTTTCGTGGTTTTTAAAAAGTCAAGAAGCAGAGTGGCAAATTTAGAGAAATACCATCAGAACTGAGAATTAAAATTTCTTCTTGCGTGTCAACAGTTGTAGAGAGTTCAATTTAAAAAAATGTAAAAATACAGTTTTTATATGAAAATATGAATGAGCACATTTTAGAAAAAGTCACTTATGAATATACCTCTCCAGTGCATAAATGAGAACTGGGCTAATCTTTGGAATATGGTAACAGGTAGTTTGGCGACATTTTGGTAAAGCAATAAAGGCCATAGCTAGGACTTTAGCAGTGTGCATGAATAAAGTCAAGAGTGTGCGCAATGTCATTTTTAGGCAATTCTGGGATGTTTTTTTAAGTGAAAATAGGTCGACGTGTACATGGATGATACCATGTATGTGCAATTCTTAAAAATGCGGCAAGCAGTGGGCGATTCTGCACTTTCTCCCAATTTCACACCTAATCTTCGTCATGATTAAGAACTTTGTTCCATAAAAGTTCTAGCATAAGCGTAATTCGACTAGCAGATATTTGAAAAAAAATGTTGAGTTAAAAAAAAAAAAAAAAAAGCATGCCTTTACTTCATGAAAACAAAATGGCGTCCTAAAAAATCTAGCAGGTTGCAGTAGCAGGGTTGGTCGCCAAATTTTCCCCAAAATATCGCCAAATTATCATAATCCGAAGATTAACTGAGAACTGTTATTATGTCTCTAATGGAAAGGTTTAAATAATAAATTCATTACCCTGATTTATTCCCAATATTATTCATGACATAAGAATTTTATAATAAAAAAAGAATGTCTAAATAGCAACTGAGACATGCCAATGATTGAAAGGACAATATCACTGAATACCAGCAGTTTGATTCATAATTGTTTACCAGTGAACAAGCTGAAAGCACAGTTCTGATAGTTTCCTTGTGTGTAACAGTGAGCTAAGTCAGTGTTCCATAAGAAAAATATACTTAGAAAGCTCTCTTGTGTTTAGCCTAAATGCGACTAAACAATGACAGAAACTGAACAGAAGTTAAAGAGTTAACCGAGTTTCTTTGGAACCTTTCTCCCTCCCTCCCAAAACTTTGGCAAGAAGCAGATCAAAATGTATTAAATTTTTCTAATATTTTGTATTTTAGAAGTGCTATCTCCTACATCATAACAAAACATTAATAGTTGTCTAACTATAAGTCATATTTGTACTACAGTACAAATATATAATAGTACTACAGTACAACTACAAAAAGGATGTGGAAGACATTTTCTCTCATGAGTTAGCGTCACTGCAAATCTAATCTGTACAATATCTAATAATCTCATCATATTTCTGAAACTAAATTTAATAAAAAGTTATTTATGATCTTCAGTTGATTGAAGGAGGATAAAGAGGTCTTTCTGTAATTGTAATAGAAAAGCGGATAGGATATAGAAAAGTTCACAGATTAACTACTATGCAAATGTGAAAAAAAACCTATATCAAATCATGTGCATGCATTATGCTTCCCAGTGCAAAGTCTTTGGATCTTAAATTTTGTAGTCCAAAGCCTATCTAAATTCTGCTGTGCAGTGCCCTTCCTAAATTCTAAGAAATTTTGCAAATCTTAATTTTATTGCTTATGCTTCTATTAATTCTAAAAATTGTGCCAGCCCTAAATTCTGCTCCCGAGTGCAGCCGTACAGTTGCACTGTCTCTAATGCTGGCCCTATGCGCTTGGCTTTAATAATAATAATAATAATAATAATAATAACAAAAACTGGCTGCACAACATTAGTACATGCAGCTATACAATAAGAATGGCATCTCATTCAATGCATATATGTTCTTCTGGGTATAAATTCTTCTTTATTTTAACAGCTCTAGGTGCAATGCATGCAATGTAATAATCTGAAATATTCATTCAGATAAAAGTCTGTTAATGAGAACTAAAAAACCTCAGATTTACTAAGAGATCTACCACATTTTTCAAAAAATACCACAGGTTAACCACTGGTTAAATACCACTGATAACCATAATTTGGCTTATAGCTATTAAAAAAAACACACGCACAGGTTTCAACTGTAAGCTATTAGTAACATGTCATATTCAGTTATTAATAACATGTCACGTTCAGTTATTAGTAACATGTCATGCATATTTCTTTTAATCTAGCTACAAATGAAGCAGGGTATATATTTTAGATGTAAATTATTTTATGCAAAAAAAAAAAAAAAAAAGATTTGTGGACTAATTTAAGGTACGAATAAACGTAAAAATTACAAAGCATTTTTGTTCAACTTCTTCTGACCAACCTCAGCTGTGTATCGAATGTTTTAAAATTTTATATTCAAAATAATGTCCTAAGTGAAACTATCTACAGCTGTATTTTAAAATACTTTAACAGTCTGATAACTTTCCTTTATCGAATTACTTACACAAATAACTGAAGATAACCACCGTTACACTAGTGGTGCTCCTTGTTTAGAACTTTTGGTTTACAACTCAAAAAGCAAGAAATACAAAGATTTAAATGAATAATTTGTGATGAAAATATACAAAAGCAAAGAGCTCAGGACAAAAAGCAAGACTTTTGTAATTTTTAGTTTGTGTAACAAAATGGTGAAGGCATTAAATAAATTTTATAAAACTCATTAAAAGTAAGTAAATGAATATAATTTAATATTTTTTAAAAAGGAAACCAATAGGTAGGCACACAAGGATATCCTTATGGGAAGAGGCCTGAAATCTCTTAAATGGGCAAAAATAAAATGTAGCAAAAATTTTTAATTAAGCTATTCCTTTTTCATGCAAGATATAAATGAAGGGTAAAACATGCAGAGGGAGATAGCTTTCTTATTTTTTCCTAATTTTAAGTGTCTAATTAAAAAACAAACTCAATGAATTAAAGCAAAGTGAATGAGCTTAAAAAATATAATATTTTATTTAAAAATTGTGTTTATTAGTTATAACACAAAAACCACATTAATAAATGGCTACTGTTTCATTTAATTTCTTCCAAAAGGTATCTTAAACAAGAAAACATATCAGAGTCAAGCAGCAATATATCAGAGTCAAGCAGCAATTAATTACTGTGCAATAATACCTGTATGAGCAACACATTCATCCCAACCAGGTTTTCTCCATGCAGCATCTCTTATGGCTTTCCTCATTTGTAAATCTTTATATCCTTGAAAATAAAATTGCTTGTTGAAGTATCTCAAATACTTTTCATAAAAACATTTTTATTTGTCAAGTGAAGTAAAGGAATTAAATATATACTGCACGATTCTTGAAATCATTCATTGCACAGATAAAGGAAAGTTACTTTCAATAATTTACATGTTTATCATAATTAATATTTGTTTCACTTTAACTCTTGAATAAATTAAGTGTAAAGGATTTCAAATAAATAATCAGAGCAAAATATTTAGGTTCATCATTTAGCATTTTTATTAATGCATTAACCAAAATGTCATTAATTAGCTTAATATTTTCCTTTTACTTAAAACAATATCATATATACAGGGTGCCTCTGAATTCATGGACGAGACTTTAAGGGTAGGTAAAATACATATAAGAAGCATTTTTACTTCCTTGTATGAAGTAAAAAGGAAGTATTGTAAGCGTGAGAAATTTCGGGAATCATATTTCAACTAAAATAACCATTTTGACCGCTATTGAATGCAATCTAATGATGCTCATGGTTATTCTAAATGATTCATTAAATTATAAGTTTATTGATCGATACAAAAATAACTCTTTTTTTTTAAAAAAAGAATTCCTCTCTCCTTTTTTAAGCAAGTTAGTTCATCCAATTTAGAAATTTAATTTTTTTAACAGCTATAATAACTCCAGTGCAATGCAATAACATGAATAGAAATTTTCTTCTTAAACCTTTTTACCTTATTTAAATAAACCTAAACGTCTTGAGCTGTGTTTAACCTAAAGACATATATTAATTAAGTCTTAAGCTTAAGTTTAGTCTAGGTTTAAATTTTTAAAATTGGAATTTGATGGATTCAATGGAAAGCCATCAGGTATCTCAAAAATAACTAAATAAAGAAAGATACATAAAAACAAAAAGATTAATTAAAAGTAAATAAATTTTAAAGCTGTAAATAAAACTACTAATAAACAAAGTTAAATGAATGATAAATAGATGACAATACAGTGAATGCATTATAAAAATTAAATGAACTACTAAACAAATAAAAGATGAGAAAAATTAATAACAAAATATGATACTGGTAATCAAAGAAATATAAATACTTTAATGAGTATTATTCATGGTAAGATAAAATTCAATTCTGCCTTTTTATCCATCTGCCATTTCGACCAGGTAAGAACAACTCATTTACTTCCTGAAGGGACTGCATTTCTTGCTGTTTCCAGAGAAAGTGAGGTGTACATTCAATAGTTAATATCAGTACCAGTTTTAAAACATCTTCATGAACCTTTTTCTTGTCATCTTGGTGCATGAATAACAGAATTTTGTGTCAATACTGTGATTCAGTTGTAGAATACAACAATCATACAGCTAATCCAATTTGGGGAATCTGGATGAAATTATGATTTCTCAAATGAAATGTGAAAAGCACAGAAACTGGGGCTTTGATGAATTAAGCATCAGATATTCAATGTTAATGAATTCAAAAATATTAAAAACTAAAAACAAAATTTTCAAGATTCTTAAAGAAATATAATTCAGCTATCCTATCTTGAAACCATTCCTTTTTCTAATAATTTTCAAGACAAAATCTAATATGTTCCTGTTAGCTTTCTCAAATTATTATTTTTTTTTCATGTATAAGTTTGAAAGAAACTTTTTCTTTCAGTTACAGTACTCCTCACAAATTCAAGGCAACCTCTTATGGAATCCCAATTCTTTAGAAAAGCTGCTCTTACGTTATAAATGGGTTTTTTTTTTTTTTTTTTTTTTCCATTTGCTAGCGCAAAAAGATCAGTAATGGAATTATGAGTAGCATTTAAGCAAGGATAACAATTTACAAAAAATTATACAGTTGATGATCGGTTAACGAACAATTCGGAGAGCGAACAAATCGAACAACGAACACTTTCAGGAAAGATTTTTGTGTTCGGACAACGAACAATATTCGGATAACGAACAAAAACTCCTCTCCGAACACCCAACACCAGTTCTCAATTCATCCTGAAAATGGATGTGCAAGGTGCGCTGACACGTCATCATTGGATGTGCGTGTGCACTGAGACGTCATCATTCATACTATGTAGCAATGAGGCAGCACCGTACGATGCATACAGTAGTGTGTGACAACACATTGTTAATTGTGTACCATAGTTGGTTTCTGTCCTTGTGATTTTCGTATGTGCTTCTCTAGACCCCTTATGAAAAAAACCTGAAAATCTGACAATATTATGGGACCTAAAAGAGTGGAGTGTCAAGAACTGTGCTCACCATAAAAACCAAGCAAGAGATTATAACTAAACTAGAGAGTGGACAAAAAATGACTTATGTTGCTAAGCAATACGGCTTTAACAGGTCTACAATAGGCACAATCCTAGCTAAGAAAGGAACAAACTCCAGGTTCGTCATCCGAAAATCTAGAATTCAAGGCTCCACTGGCTGGTTTGCAAAGTTTAAAAGGAGATCTGGCATTAAACACGGTGATGCATGGTGAGTCTGCTAGTGCAGATAAAGAAGAAGCTGAGAGGTTCCGTCTCAAATTTCAAGAATTCATTGAAAAAGAAGGGTATTGTCCACAACAAATATTTAATTGTGATGAAACTGGTGTGTTTTGGAAGTGCATGCCAAACCGTACCTACATCAAGAAAGATGAGAAAAGTGTTCCTGGGCATAAACCCATGAAAGACCGATTGACCTTTTGGTAGCTAACGCTAGTGGTGATACGAAGCTTAAACCACTTCTTGTTTATCACTCTAAGAATCCTAGAGCATTCACAAAAAAAAAAAAAAAAAAAAAAAAAAAAAAAAAAAAAAAAATTCCATAATCAAGAGAAAACTGCCAGTGATGTGGAGATCGAATCAGAGGGCATGATTCATGCAGGCTCTTTTCAAAGAGCGGCTATTTGAAGTTTGTGCCCCGAGCATCAAGGACTACCTTGATACCAATGACTTGCCATTGAAAGCATTGCTGCTATTGGACAATGCACCGGGGCACCCAAAGGACCCTGAAGATAATTTGCTGATAGACTTTCCCTGGCTGACAGTGCTGTCTCCGAATACAACTTCACTGATTCAGCCAATGGATCAAGAGGTTATTGGAAGTTTCAAGAAATTGTATACTCGTGTGCTGTTTCGGTGATGTTTTGAAGCATGCCAATTCTTCTCAAAAATGACTTTAAAAACGTTTTGGATAGAAAAATTTAACATTCTCAAAGCTATTCGACTTATTGAAAAGGCGTGGTCAGAAATCACTCAACAACAGTTGGTTTCTGCTTGGCAAAAGCTGTGTCCATCCCTCGTTCAAGGAGACAGAGGTGATCAGGGTGACACCCCTTAAATTATGAATGAAATTGTAACAACTGCGAGAGATCTGGAATTGGAGGTGAACGAGGATGACATTGAAGAGCTCATAATGGAACATGAAGGTGACTTGATGGCAGAAGAACTCCAAGAAATTTTGAATGAAAAACACAAGAAACTCAGCGAAATGTGTTTCCTTCTGAAAAAGAGGAAAACTTAGAGGAGCAATGCTGACATCTGCCATTAAAGATCTTTTGAAGAAATGGGAGGATGTCAGAGCAACAGTCTTAAAATGGCACCCAAACCAAACTGATGTCAATAGGGTTGCTGATCTCTACAATGACATTGCTATCAATCATTTCCTGAAAGTCCTGAAGGAGAGAGAAAAACAATCCACATTGGACATGTTCTTTAACGCCCAAAGAAAGGAAAAGGACTGATTAATAAGTAAGACTATATGCATGTATTATATTTGTAATACATAAACTTACTAAGAAATTATACTTGTACATGACATTTTTTTTAAATTTAATTTTTAGGATCTCCACAACGAATTAATCGAATTCCCATTAACATGTATGGTAAATCGGTGATCGAATAATTTGGGCAGCGAACATAATCTTGGAATGGATTATGTTCGTTAACCGATCACCCACTATATTTGATATACTTACCCCATATATGATGCACCATATAAAGCTGACCAATCTGGGAGAAAAAACCAGCTACAGCACTTTCTTTCCTATATGTAACACCTCTAGCCCTAAATTAAGTATTAAGAAAGAAAACTAAATCTTTTTTTTATTAGTAACTATATAACAATAGAAAATACAGAAAGAAATAGTTAATATTGGCAGAGGAAAAATTATCAAAATACAAAATTAAAGAAAAAAATATTTCAAATTTAGCCATAACACTATAAAGATTAAATGTTGTACTCCTCTTTACATAACATATGTTCAAAAAGTATTCCAGTAAACAGTTTCTCTAATTTTGGTGGACTGTGGACACAAAAACACTGTGTATAACAAACTCCAAAGAAAAAAATTACCAGATATTATGTCAGGAGACCTTGACGGCTTTCTCAACAATGCTAAGTCTTTTTCCTTATATTAACACACTTAATGATGTGAGAGTTTGTCCAAGTACTGACATACATCAATGCTCCAAAGTAAAGGTTGTTAACATGAAATTGTATGAATCATTCTCCATTTGAGAATACAAGCACAACAGCAGCATATCAAGACACAGCATACCCGTCACAGTATTCTTGAAGGGAAAAAAAAGGACCCTTTACAACTTTGTGAAACAGCACAGAAGACATTTGGTTTTAAGGGTCTTGATTAAGAGCATGAAAATTATCCACATTCTTGCAAGAGTGCATCTAATCTGTGTTTTGATATTGTTCACACAGAATGAATCACAAGGATATGCTAGAATAAACTGTACAAATAAACTGTTCAGCAACAAAGTTTCATAACTAACAAATAAATTTGTACACATTTAGTATATAAATCAAATATTTAAAAATCAAGCATTTTATCTAAACTGTTAATTTTGTTTAAGAAAAACAGATTAAAGTATTTGATAGATAACAAAGTTATTCATAAGAAGAGTATTCATATACTACATATATTTTCTACAGAAGCAGAAAAAAAAAGGCATAACACATTAATAAAATCCATAAAATAATTAATATGAATTATTTATTTATTTTTATTACTATCTAAATGCATGGTCTCATTATTATATAATGAGATGATATATTATGCAATAATGAGAATATATTATACAAATACTATGGTCTGATTATTATATAATTTATTAAAAATTATAACTTTATATATTTAAAATATTATTTTATATATTTATTTTTTATATTTATCGAAATTTTAAAATCAAATTTTGGATAATCACAGATGCTTAAAAGAGTCAAAATTTTACAATCCAAATAGAAAATATCCTCAACTTTTGTTTAAGCAGGAAGCTCAATCCTTAATCAAATAAGTAAATGCAACATTAAAGTAAAAAAAAGTATCTTTTTTTTTTTTTTTTTTTTTTTTTTTTCCAAAATATTTGCATGCAAGATAAAATTATCATATCAAACTCACCAATTATTACCCCATTCTATCATTGTGCCAGGCTGAAGAAGAAAGAAACAGAAGTATAATAACTAACGCAGCACAGCTATTAAACTGCAATGTAATTCATAATACAGGTTATCAGTTTTTTAAACCAGGGTTTATTCTAGATATTTAATCAAGCATTCTTCCTTTAGTTCAGAAGACTTAATTTTGTCTATTCTTATATTTAAAGAACATGCCTCTGTGATATCATTCATAAATTTTTGTTTTACTGATTTGAAATAGAAATTTCAAGATCACAATCACAGAATCATAAATTCCAATCAAAATAAAAATCAAAACATACCTTTGTATAAAACAGAATCATATTCAGCATTTCTTGTTATAACAAACAAGAACTGAATGCATTGTAAATTGCAACAGTAAAATAAATTTTAAAATTCAGTACAATGAATTATTCACTGATATGAGAATCATTTGACACTGCTAGCCCAGAAAACTCTGCTTTGAAAACGATATCAATGAAAAAGGCATTTGTATTTAATTAAAAGTTTCATGCTACAGAATAATATACTAGTGGATGTTCCTCTGTCTAAACCAGCAAAATATTCACCTTTATTGTAATCAAGCTGTGAAAATACCTATATGTAATGAATAATGCCATTACATGTCATCAAATCACTTAATATCGGAGATAAATACCGTTCCTAAATATTGTGACATCATCTGCTATCACTGCATTTATACAACACATTTTCTTTTCCTTTTTCCATTTCCTGGAGAAATTTTGCTTTATTCTGATAATATGTGATAGTAATTTTGCCATAGTTCTGCAGTAAACAAACTTAACCTTTTTTTGGAACTAGCTAAACCTTTTTTTGTATAAAGTCTAGTTAATCTGCCCCTAAATAATCAATATAAAGTCCAGTTAATCTGCCCCTAAATAATCAATATAAAGTCCAGTTAATCTGCCCCTAAATAATCAAAGTTCACTATATTTTTATTTTATGAGTAAATAACTCAAATAAATATTAATTTATAATTTAAATAGAATAATAAAGATTTTGTGGCTAGGTACAACTTCAACAAAAATGAATTTCATCATTCAAAATTTAGTATGAATCAATAACCCAACTGAATAACAAAATGCTTTGCTTTGCATTCATTAATTATAAACTGTAAACATCTCTTTAGTAATGAAAACACCAAATTATTGTACAATGCAGCTAGATACTTCCAACTAATTTGATTCAATCTAAACTTTCCCCATTACAAAGACCATTACTAGATTGAAAACCTGCCATTTTAGAGGAAAGAAAATTAATGAAGATGGTACCAGATCATATAGAACTTGTAGAAACTGCCCCCAAACGGAGCTTTCTCCAAAACACATCTTCACCTATCTGGCAATACTTGCAGCTCTGCGAAGCTTGACAGAATTGCCTGAAAAGATTGTGGAACTGGCAAAAACTGTAATTTCCCTGCATGGATCCATTTGACTTCTCAAAGGACACGACACCAACCAACCCAACCAACCAAAAAAAGTAATTAAAATATACAACAGCATATACTGGAAATTTTCCAGAAAACATTCTGAACGTAAGAAAAACTGTGAAACATCATGAATAACATATTATATATACGAGGGCCATCCAGGAAGTAGATTACGTTTCCGTCTGTGTCCGCTAGGGGCGGGGCTAGCGCGGCCATCTTGGGGTCAGAGCGTTGCACAGCTCAGTCTGCATCTAGCCGTGCTAGTGAGAGGTTCGTGCTGTGCTCCGTTCAGATACTGTGACGGTTTGAAATGTCTGCGTTAATTGAAAATCCCGCGAGCTGCGAGGTGCGCTCAGTAATAAGGTTTCTGACTGCAAAAAACTGTAAACCGATAGAAATCTATCGGCAGCTTCGTGAAGTGTATGGGGACAACATTATCACTGAAGGTGGAGTGCGTCAGTGGGTCATAAGATTTCAAAATGGCCGAACCAATGTTCACGACGAAGATCGAAGTGGGAGACCCAGCATAGTGACCGCCGAACTTCTCGAAAAAGTCGATGCTAAAGTCCGTGAAAATCGAAATTTCACAATAACGGAACTTTCTTTGAGTTTTCCACAAAATTTCGCGAAGTTTGTTGCACGAAATCATCAGCGAAAAGCTTGGTTACCACAAGTTTTGTGCAAGATGGATTCCAAAAATCTTGACAGAGGACCACAAAAATCAGCGAATGGCTGCAGCGTTGAACTTTTTGGACGCTTACCATAAGGATGGTGACTCTTTACTCGATCGCATCGTTACTGGTGACGAAACATGGGTGAAACATGTGAACTGTGAAACGAAATTGCAATCAATGCAGTGGGGGCACACAAGTTCTCCCCAAAAACCCAAGAAATGCATGCAAACAATGTCGGCAAGGAAGATGATGGCGACTGTTTTTTGGGACAGAAAAGGTGTAATTTTGGTGGACTTCCTGGAAAGAGGCACTACAATAAACTCTCAAAGGTATTGCCAAACTCTCCAAAAACTCAGAAGAGCAATTCAAAACAAGCGCAGAGGAATGTTGAGCTCTAAGATCTTGTTGATTCACGACAACAACGCCCGGCCCCACACGGCAAATGTCACTCGTAAAGTTCTTGAATCTTTTAAGTGGGAGTTGTTTCCTCATCCGCCGTACAGTCCCGACCTGGCACCGAGCGACTTCCACCTATTCCCAGCAATGAAGAAGTGGCTGGCTATGCAGCGTTTTGATGACGACGCACAGCTGCAAGAAGAGGTAACGAAGTGGTTGAAGGCGCAGGCGGCCGAATTTTTCGACGAAGGAATTTCCAAGCTCGTACATCGCTACGATAAATGCCTTAATTTGTATGGTGACTATGTAGAAAAGTAGTATTTGAGTGTGGCTTTCATCTGTATATAATAAAATTTGTTTCCTATACTTTGTTTATTTTTTTATTCCAAAACGTAATCTACTTTCTGGATAGCCCTCGTATAAAAAAAAAATTCTTAAGGTATTTTAGAACTCTTTACCAAAAGTTAGTAGAATTCTTAAAAATTAATAAAAAATGAACAAGTTAAATAAAGATGCAATTTGTAGCAAAATTCATTATCATGAAATCAGACATTATTGATAATAATATATCTGTAATGGAATGATTTAGAAAATAAGCATAGTGGGTTGGCAATTGTAATAACTTGGACAGGCTTTACTGCGTAGTGACTTGAGATGCATAATGAAGAAAACCAAGGAGTCGTGGCAGAAATTAACAAGACACGATTCATTTCTCTGCACTTAATTCTTCTTTACACATTCTATATCACACACCATTTTGGGTGCAAGATGCGCTCAACAATTTCATATCTCTTACATACATTGAAACAAAAAGCACAGTGAGAAACACACATTACTAGTGACAAGCAAAGGGAAGAAAAAAGGGCTTTTGCAATACCAGGATTGGTATTTATACATAAAAATTTCTTAATCTGAATGTCTAAGAGTTCACTGCATTGCAGCATGATTACACAATCACGAAATATATTAATTTTCAGATGAGGCACTTTAGATTCATATATTAGTATTTTTAAAACAGGAGGGGACACAGCTAAATTAAAGTTAGTAATTTTGAGTTTTATTTTTTTATCTTACATATATGTATGATAAATATGTAAATCAAAATTTTAACAGCCAGTCCCTTAATTCTCCATTTTAATTTTGTTATTTCTCTCTTCTATCCTAAAAATAGTAACTGCTTAATAAATCTGTTTAAACTGGGTCATTTAAAAATTGATATTCTTACCTGATTCTTAGCAAACTCTAATAATACAGACACTTATAATAAGATTCAGCCAATAATAATTTTTCTTTCTTCAGATTTAAAAAATACAAAACTCATTCAAGAACAGGCACACTTTATGCAAGATACCCCCCAAAAAATCAAATTATAACTTAAATTAACAAGCCCCTTTATTCCTCATTTTAATTTAAGTATTTCCCCTCTCTATTCTAAAATAATAATAACCTTTCATATTGGAAAACTACATACTTGCTTTCTGCATCTCGGCCAAGATAGCCGAAATTGCTGCTTACTGCTCCTCTTTTTACCACAATGCTATCAAATGAAATAGGCATGATTAGAGTGCCAAGTGAATTGTATGAGTCTATGCTTCATTGCAATGTTTCGAATCCTGTCAACTCAATGTAATGAAGCACACAATGAAAAGAAAGCAAGACTTATAAAATGATACTGTAGATACAGTTGATAACATATATGAAAAATACAGCATTTTGTCACTGAAATGAAGCAAATAGACTTAGAAGTAATGATGTAGAAATATTGATTGCACAGAATATTGATCCATAGTGAAAAGCAACTTGGCAGCCGAGGCAGAATAAATATTCAAACATTTCCATTTTCAAACTTTTCCATTTCCATTAAAAAATTTTTCCATTTTTGATAACTTTGCAGTAAGAAGAGAGCAGGAAGCAGTAGTCCAGCTAAAGCGAACTCTAGAACGCAAGTTGCATTCTGAATGAAATCTTAATTCAGAATGAGTTAGTTTCAGTTCTCAATGCATTTGATTGGACAGTTCCATTTACATCACCAGCATTATGCAAGTCATATGACATGAATTAATCTTGAAACAACACAGAAAAAGATTACCATTTTTAGAACAGAGAGGGGAAATGTGAAATTAAGAATTAAGGGGCTATTGTTAATTTATAATTTCATTTTACACAGTAGAAAGACAACTCAGTAGAAAGGTGATACGTACACAAATATCAGCACCATGTCTTCAGAGGGTACACGAGGGTACGTAAAATGGGAGGAGTCAGTGCATACAATTTAAGGCAACTAATAATGAAGAAAGGAAGGTGCATTTTCAGGCATTCTTCTGCAATTAAAAGTGAGATTGTACATACAGTATGGCTACAACAAAACATCAGGAGATGCTTTTACATGAGGTAGAATGATTGGCAAGTTTGAAGAGGGATGCAGTTTGACATCTGTTGCCCAAGAGTTTTGAAATGATAAGTGTTGTTTAGATTAGTAAGTGTTTGGAAAGCCTTCCAAATGACAGGTACAGCTGTAAGAAAGCTTGATGGTGGTTGACCAAGGAAAACAACTGATGATCGATACATAGCCCTGCAGTTCAAAACCAAACAACGTTCAGTATTCCTCAATAGTTGGGCATGGCAACAGGTGCCCCATTTACTATGGCCAGATGACTTCATAAAGGTTGCCTTTTCTCCCACCACCCTGAATGTTGCATACCATTGACAACATCCCACCAGTGGCACCATTTACAATAGCAACAGAGAACATAATGACTGAACACCTCATCAATGGAGTCATGTCATCTGTACCGATGAGACTCGTTTCAATCTGACAAATTTTTCTCAGTGCCAAATGATATGGCTTTCAATGCACTAATATCAAGGAAAGGGACCCTTAGGGTGGTCCTTGTATGTATGGAAGGATATTATGATGAAAGAACGTACAGTGCTCCACATTTTTGACAGAGATTTACTTACTGATGATCATTACTGTAATAAAGTTATCTGCCCCCCCCATGTGCATCTTTTTGGGGATGCCTTTGGTCCTGACTTTGTGTTTATGGATGGCAAAGCACAGCCACACAGGACTCATGTTGTTAAAGAACCCTGGAAAGTGAAGATATCCATAGAATGGATTATACAGCATGCTTTCCTGATTTAAATCCCATTGAACACTCTGGCAGCACGAATTTTACCCTCCAGAGAACATCAGATAACTGAAACATATGCTCCTTGAAGAATGGGAACTCTTTTCTCAAAAACAGTTGGATAATCTGATGTTGAGCATTGGCAAATGATGCAATGCCATCACTGCAGTTAAGGGACGTTATATTCCTCACTTTGGTTTGTTGTTCTCCCTCTTGGCCAGACAGTTTTTTTGTACGAATGCCATTCTGTCAATAAACCACTTTTCTATTTGTTCCATACTCTATGTGCTTTTTTTTGGGAGGGGCATGATACTATACCTTTCTCATCCTTTAAGTACTACACTGTGCCTGCGTAGAATAAATTTCATGTCTCACAGTTGATTTTTTGTAGAGTTACAGAAAAAATCAGAAAATTCACCTAAGTTTTGTACCCTAGCATATATAAAATGTGTGTGTAGGTACTTGTATATAGTATATATAATGTGCATATGATATATATAATGTGTGTGTAGGTATTTGTGCATATATATAGGTACTTGTGTATTAAAATAACCACCTTAGTAGAAGTCCCAAACTCTGCTAACCATGCTCATAACAGTTCTTAGGGTAACCATATCTACTGTAAATTCCAATCTGAAAATTTCCCCAAATCAGCTTTTTTCTGTAAAAAATTTCCGAACTGTGCCAAGATGGTTACACTAATATATTTAAACACATATAAAATACGGCATATAAATATCAACTCTAATTTCAAGCAGTTGGCGACTTATCAATAAATTTTATAATCATATATTATTTGGCTTAATAATCAAAAATAAAATACCAACAAATAATAAAACTATAGAATCAGACATGTTAATGAATGACAAACATATAAGGGTTGATCTTTACAATATGGTAACTGGTAGATTGGCGACATTTTGGAGGCGATAAAGGTTACTACCTGGGACTTTGGTAATAATGTGAGCAGTACTCAGTTCTGATTCCGCATTATTTTGCGTGAGGGAAATGAGAGATCATGGGATATGTCATGTGATATTAATGGACGAATTACAGTTCTTTAATCGGAAAAGGGGGGAAATCGGGAAAAAATGTGGAAATTTGTATTAGCTTTATTCTGTGTGTTGTGAAACAGTGTTGTGTAATTTTTGGATCTCATGGCCCTAAGTAAAGTGAATTCGAAATGGGTAATTAGGCATTGTGATAAAGAGAAGTTTGCTTTTTATTTAGTGGAGGAAGTATGGAGGAAAAATTCGCAGAAAAAATCTTTCAATAATTTTATTGAATGAATTAGAAAAAAGTGTATCCGCCACGTAATCAAGATTCTGAAGAAGATTAGGTAAGTTAGTATTTTTAATTATTTGAGGATATTATTTTATGCATTGTTCTAAATGTAAGGTGGAAAGGAATTTGGTATTATTGGGAAAATTGTTATTAGCAATGATTTAGTTTAAAGTAATTAGGATTGTAACGTAATTTTATTAATTTAATGTATGTGCTCATTTATATTTTAAGTATGTGTTTTTGAATTTAATTATATTTTAATGAATGATAGTAGTTATTTTGTGAATTTTATGTTTGTAGGAATTTGGTATACGTTTAAGTTGAAATAAACATGCATGGAAATAATTTAAATATTTGATACTAAGTATTTGTAATACTTGCGGTATATGAATTCGTTGGTGACGTTATAATGTAATAGATGATTTAGAGGTAAAAGTTTTTGGATATTTTATTATTTTATTTTTATGTTATATGTGAAAATGTTCATATTTTTAAAGGGTAAATACTTTTTCGCGATCAGGTAATTTCATATATGTTCTTTTTACCGGGTTTAAAGATTGAGAAAATTGTCATGTATTTTCGTGAAATTTTTCTAATTTATGAGAAAAAAGCAGTGTACATGGATATAGTGAAGAGTGTGCGCAATGCCATTTTTGTGCAATTCTGGGATGTTTTTTAAGTAAAATAAGTCGACGTTGTACATGGTTTAGTGATATTTTAATTAAATGATAGTTATTTTGTGAATTTTATGTTTGTAGGAATTTGGTATACGTTTAAGTTGAAATAAACGTGCATGGAAATAATTTAAATATTTGATTACTAAGTATTTGTAATGCTTGCGGTATGAATTCGTTGGTGACGTGTATAATGTAATAGATGATTTAGAGGTAAAAGTTTTTAGATATTTTATTTATTTTATATGTGGAAATGTTCATATTTGTAAAGGGTAAATACTTTTTTGCGATCAGGTAATTTCATATATATTCTTTTTACCGGGTTTAAAGATTGAGAAAATTGTCTTGTATTTTCGTGAAATTTTTCTAATTTATGAGAAAAAAGCAGTGTACATGGATATACTGAAGAGTGTGCGCAATGCCATTTTTGTGCAATTCTGGGATGTTTTTTTAAGTAAAAATAAGTCGGCGTGTACATGGTTTATGTGTATGTGTTATTTTGAAAAACGCGTAAGGAGTATGGTATTGTGCACTTTTTCCCAATTTTGCAGTGAATATTTGTCATGATTAAGCAGTTTTGTTTGATAAAATTTCTAGCATAAGTGTAATTCGGCTAGTAGATTGTTGGAACAAGTGTTCAGTAGATAAGAAGAGAAGAAACATGTCTTTACTTCGTGAAGACAAAATGGCGGCGGGGAAAAAAAATAGAGGGTTGCTGTAGGAGAGTTGGTTGCCAAATTTTCGCCAAAAAATCGCCAAGTTACCATAATGTAAAGATCAACCCATATAAGCTACAATTATATTATAAACTAAACAAAATTAATAAAAGAAAGTTTTGAACTTAAACATGAATTTAATATAAATTACATCATATTAAACTAAATAAATGAATAAAAACAAACCTTTAACACATAAGACCTCATTTCATACATATTATTGTCATTTCTCGGTTCAGGATGACCCCAGAAACTAAAGGGTAACATGAACTGATTTTCTCTGTATCTTAGATAGTTGATACGCTGGTTCATTAGGGCTTTCAAGTCTGAATCTGAGTGACATAAATCTAAAAATTCAGAAGCATGAGTATATCCATGCTTATATCGCCAAATATGAACTGAAAAGATACGAGAAAACATTTAATTAAACAAAAATACAATTAAATGGAATGAATTTTTAAAAATCAAATAAATATATTAATTTTTTTAAATACATAAATCTTGTTAAGAAACAAATTTTGAATAGGAAATGTACTATTTGCCTAGAAAAAAAATTTATAATTAACTAAGTATAAATGCATACAGAATGGAATTGTAAAGGAAGTTCTAAAATCCAATATTTTTAAATTGCGGCATTTAAAAAATGTTTTCTACCTCTTTTTCACAATATTAGTGAAATCACTGTAAATGCACTCAAGGGTTAATTTACAGAACAGAAAATGGTAAAAAATCTAACAGCTGTAGCTACATAATTTTAAAAAGCTTCTAGAATATTGTAACACAAGCAATATTTAAAGTATACTGCTGACAGAAACAGTAATAAAGCATGCAATAAAAAGTAATGTTAGCAAGTGTATCTGATAAAGGCCTTCTGGGATACAGTTTGAGTATTCAATATAAAATTTGCTTCTTGAATTGGAAGCAGCTGAGATTTAAAATTCAGATTGTAAAATACTGATTTCATTTTTATCTCATTTATTTAGATTCTTCTGTACTGCATAAAAAATTAAATATTACTTTTACATAAAAGAAAGAATACACAGCTAAAATGAATTAATTTTGCATAAAAATAAATGCTTAACACTTTGAAGTTTGGTGCATAAAAAAAAAATTTGGGGGGGGGGACAATATAACTTTACACATAGATAATTAGCCCCTAATACAATGTTATTTCATGAAAAAAAAATCTGATGTGTACACCACATGACTTCCTTGTACGAATATTAAATTATACGCATTTTTTCTTGCATTTTATTTAAACTTATTAGATTGAATTAAACCTACTTCGCCGAAAGCACATAAACCACAATAGAATAAATGCATTCTTTAAAATTCACTTTTTTTTACCATAGCGACACTCTGGCGCTAGGTTTGCTTAACAGTATTATATTTCATTCATATTATAACTCAGAATATAATACAGGGCTATAATATTTGGTCGCAACAATTTGAAAAGTGATTCGACGCAAAATGCTGTTTCGAAGCTAATAGCCCTTCTGGGCCCCTTTGGGCTAAATATTCTACAGACACCAAAAAAAAAAAAAAAAAAAAAAAAAAAAATCTTTTCCAGAGTAATATTTGGACTCACCAGCGTCCTCACCTTAAACTCACTGAAATTGAAAGTTTGAACGAGACGAACGAGCGGGTTGCATGGACATATTCGTGACTTTCCTCGTGTGTAACGTGTATACGAACCAGTTTCCTTTAAAATGTCCTCCGTGAAGACGTCCCTTAGCTTAGGTAGTTATATCTCGCGTGCTTTGCTATAATCAAAAAAATCTGATGTGTACACCAACGGAATATTAAATTATTTTGTACGGAATATTAAATTATTTTGTACAGAATATTAAATTATACGCATTTTTTCTTGCATTTTATTTAAACTTATTAGATTGAATTAAACCTACTTCGCCGACAGCGCATAAACCACAATAGAATAAATGCATTCTTTAAAATTCACTTTCTTTACCATAGCGACACTCTGGCGCTAGGTTTACTTAACAGTATTATATTTCATTCATATTATAACTCAGAATGCACAAAATGTATATCATTTAAAGAATTATCTAATCGTTGCCACATGTTCTATTCAAATACTATAATAAAGCTAGAACTATGTATAAAAGAAATAAAGCAAATAAAACAAAAAAGAAACAGTTTTTCACGGACCATTGAGTATTTCTCATTTAATTAATTCCGTTCTTACTTCGCGAGAAGGCAAAAAAATACATAAAAACTCAAAATATCTATATTAAAAATTACGAAGTAAATCTCAAACGCTTATTTCCTCGAAAAAATTCCAGAAAGAATTAAGCATGATTTAATTGGCAATAATAAATGAATGCGTTATCTTTGTTGTTGCGAAGCTAAGTTTCTCTAGATTGGCTACAAATCCACTAGTCTCCTGTTTCAAATGTAAACATCAATGGCCGCCATTAAAAACAGGCTTAGCGGCAATTAAATAACTTTAAAATTGCTGATAATTCTAAAAATATTGCACACAGATTTACTAAAGGCATAAAATCCTTAACCAGAAGATAAGAAGAACATAATTCAATCATTTTTAAAGCAAAAAATGTACAATTTACAAACATATAAGAGTAAAGAAACTGAGATCACTGACCCGGGTAATAGAGTGGATATACATATAAATATATTTATATACGTTTGGTGCTGCCGATTGCAACCAAAATACGAGGTGCACATCCACATGTTATAGCAGTCCTATATACAAAATTTCAACGTTCTGAGGCTACTTGTTTTTGAGTTATGCGAGATACGTACATATGTTCGTACAGACGCCACGAAAAATTCTCTTCAGAATTAATTTTAAAGCAGTTTTATAATTTTTTTGAAGGAAAAGAGTATTTTATTCTGTCCTTACATACAGATATGACGCAACAACATCGTTAAATTGCATTCGATAGCGGTCAAAATGGATATTTTCGTTGAAATATGCTGCCTGAAACTTTTCGCGATTACAATACTTCCTTTTTACTTCGTACAAGGAAGTAAAAAGAAAAGAAAAACAGGTAAACCTTCATGGTAATTCATAACACGGTGGGATACCGCTTGTCCCACTGCACATCCAGAGCAATAAAATGGTGAGTGTAAATTCTCCTAATATGCTTATATATATTGCTAGTTTTAGCAATCAAATAAAAATGCAAGATATAAAGAAAGTTTTTGAATAATTATCAAGAAAATATTTGCAAAATGTTTGATTATATTTGCAAAATTAAAAAAAAAGCTCCATGTACGATGCTTTAAATTTTTTTTTTATTGTTTTCACAACAGATTTGAAACAGAAAAGATTTTCGCTTCAGAACTTTATTTGCTACAGGTTTGAAAAGTAGGATATTTAGAACACCGTCATGTTTATTTACATTCTACCTCTTTTTCCTCTGCTTAAGATATTTGTCTATAGTGAATCACACTCACATATCCACTCAGTGTTCAATGACATTTCATGTTACAGGGTTATATTTTCATTTCTTTCAGAAAAAATACTAAATCTTTTCAAAGTTTTAACATTACTGCAATTTATTAAAAAATATAAATTTGCACTATCTATATATGAAATGAACATGATACTTGAATTAAGAAATAATTTGAATAGTGTTGCCACCTAGTAGCAGCATTTCCTACATACACAGTGGAATGCATTTGTCCCACCTAGTCATTTCAACCATTTTTAATTAATATATATGAATTCAAAAAAATTTTTAATTAGAAAAGGAAACTTTCAGATAAAAATATTCATTCTAACACAAAAGTTGTTGTTCAGACGATTTAAATTGCATAAGAAATTATGGAAAAAAAAAAAAAAAAAAAAAACCAATCAAAATTAGAGTTGCAAAGAATTTTTTCTACATTATTTCCGTGAATGAATACTAGTGTTGCCATCTGTTATACATTTAGAAAAGTAAAAAGTGTAATTGTAGTATTTTAAATAGAATTTTGCAGCTTTCATCTGGGAGATAAAAAGTGATAAAAAAAGGTGGGACGCCCGGCGTCCTACTGCCCGTCAAAGGGTTAAATTAAACCGATATTATCACTTTCTAACTAAGATTTGATTATTAAATTTTCTCTTTTTACAATTCCAGACCTTTTAATTTTATGTTAATGCTGTTTTGCTCAAATAACATGCTACCAACACTAATTGTTAATTTTATTCTTTCATATACACAAAAATTCTCAAAATTCTTCTATATAGGAATTACTATTTTTTTTTCCTCTCTGACTCATCTTTTTTTTGGGGGGGGGGAAGAATAATAGTTTTTTTTTTTTTTTTTTTAAGAGGGTATAGCAGTTTGAAACACATTATAATATACAGAATAAATTTCCAGATACGGAATCATCAAAAATTCAGCAATTTCAGATTTCTGAAATTTTCAGATTTTAGATCATCTATTTAAATTTAGTAAGATGGCATGTAGACATGGCAATATTGGGACTTCACTTAATATTTGTGTCAGAAAGAAAAATGGTAACACCAGCCCAAAAAACACAAGGATTAAAAGTGTAATTGTGGCCAACATCTATGTAATATCAATCAATGTATTTGCCATTGGCCATGGTGCCACTCGCTAGCTAGCAGATATTTGAAAATGACAATGTTATCGGTCAGACTAGAAAAAAATTATTACATTAACTACACACCTGCTTCCTTTTACTGGGTATTTATTATATTTTCCATTTCTAGACTTTGCAAGGGAGGGGGATATTTTATATTATTTTACGTTATTTATTTTTCCAACTGGTGGTCTAAATATTGGACATCTGGATTTTGAACTTTGTACTGTATTAGATGTAAATTGGAGCAAGAGTATACAGTTATTACAATATTTGTATAATGGAATTTATTAATAACATTATCCATGACATTAAATATTTAAAAGCAAATGCTAAATAAAACAATGCTCTTGTAGAATGCTTCAGAACTGAAATTAATAATAATAATATCACAGGTTATTATTTGAAATACAGCCAATAATTTTTTATTCTTGTACAGATTAATTTATAGCACATGAAGATATGCAAGTTGAAAACAAATTTGATTAGTTTAAGTTTCTTTTATGCATCCTCATTTCAATTCCATCAAACACTGCAAAAACATGACATTGAAAATGCAGAAAAAAGGTTATTCAAAATAGTCATACTTAGCAGTTTGTAAAATTTTGAATAGACAGCTCTGATGAAGAGGAACACCTGAACTTTTATTACAGCTCTAAACAATTATTTTTACGAATAAAATGATTGGCTATAGATAATTCCAGGAGATATAACACTAACATTCTCTTCAATACAAGATGAAAATTGTGAATTATAAAACTGCTGACTCAGCATAACACAAATAGAGTAGCACAACAGTTTGAAAATAGTTAGGCAAATTTTCAATTAACTTCTAGCCTCTATGGCAACTGCATTTATACACTCTTCCCAAGAGATTTGAATAAACATGTCCAATAAATGAAGAATGCATCACAAGAACATCCTAAAAAAATCGGTCTGAACCTCTTAAAATCTCAAAAAACTTCTCTCACCAAAGCCCAATAGACTTTAACAGCCTGTATCTCTGGTTCTCTTTAGGCTCTTTTCAAAAGTTTAAAGTCTGGTTATATATTAAAAAATCTATGACAGTCAATATACAACAAAATGCAAATAAATATTAAAAGAATTATAATGCAGTTATTACATTAAAATAAAATGAAGCTACTTTTTTTAAGTGAGACACCAGTCATAACTATTTATTAACATCCTACAAATAGCTATGCAGTGATGTCATTATGAACAAGCTTCAACACAGTAATTTTTCCTTCGACACTTTAAGTTGCATTTTTGTTCAAGTGTTCATTTTTATTGTGTACCTACTTATTTTTAGACAAAGAATCAACATGAAGTATATGATTAGGTAATTGACAAAAGAAGAAAAGTGGTGATTAAATTTTTTTATGATAAAGATATGCATAGTGAAAGGCATTTGGAAAACAACGAAATGAATTTGTTTTTACAACTATCGAAGCACCAAAATAATGTGTAGTGAAAGATAGCTTCATAAAAAGAAAGTTTTATAAGGCAGATTTTAATTCAAAGGATTATACATCCCTTTTCTAATAGCTGTTTGTTTTATTTACTTTCCATATCAAATGCTCATGCAATGTTGGTAGATTTCTGTCAACTGCAAATAATGAATCACTTAACAACTTCTGACTGGATTAATTACATAAATTTCTAGTTGTGAATCTTTCATTTGTCTTTTTTTTTTTTTTTTTTTTTTTGTCTGTGTGTGTGTTTTGGATTTATTACAAAAAAACTATTCTTTTCATGCAACAATATGCATCCTTCCAGTTGCCATTTTCTATTTCTAGCCAGTTTCTCTGCCAAAATTTATACATGGCACCAAGTGATGCCTTGTTAACGAAAAGATACCAAATGTACTCTACTTCTGAAAATCTGGTAAAACTACAAATAGAAATGCAAAATCTAGTAATATTAAATTATCTTAATTGGAAATGATGAATAAAATAAAGAAATTAACAGGAAAGTATATAGAAAAAAATATAATGAGGAAATAAAAAAGTAAATAATTAATGAAATACTCTGCTCAGCAGTAGTGAACCCTTAGAATTTCATGGACCACTACATATATAATTTTATATTTAGCAGACCACTAATATGGATTTGAAAAAGGTAAATACATTTATACAATAATAATCAGCAAACTACACATATTTTGTTCACATTGAAAAATTACATGAAAAGTACAAAAATCTTACCTTCTTGCACAGAAAGCTTCACATTTCCATATCACTGAACAAAAACTTCATGAAAAGCAAGAACAAACCAGCAAACACAAAGCAATATAGTACAAAGTCTTTAATCTGGAAAGCCATAATCCGGAATGATCTGTAATCTGGACCTCAAAGCTACAAACTTTCTGCGCTTACATAGCATTTACGCATGCGCATTTAATGTATAACGGACGGTATAAGCTAGGCTAAAATTATCTAATTATCTATCTCAGATAATGTTGCAGATTGCGTTGTTCCTTAATCTTCTAATTGGATTATTAATTTCTGCAGACTGTTAGAGAAATTTTATAAAAAGTAAGCTTGAACTTTTGATTATGTCAAAAATAGTTTCTGATTCTGGAGCTGCCAAAAGATCTACAAAGCAAAAGCATGTTTCGATGTCCATCAAACACAAAGTGGAATTGCTTCAAAAATTGGATAAAGGCATGAAGAAAGTGACAGGCAGGTTAGTGAAAACAAAAAAATTTCGATTGACAAGTTAGTCGGTATTCTTGGCACAGCAATTAGAGGACTTGAACAGCGAAACTTTATAACTGAACAAGAAATTATGTCTGTTTATAGAATTAAAGAGAAAGTATTAGCACACAAAAATGAAGCAACTTAAACAACTTACATTGAAAGAAATGTTTAATAAACTAAACAAATAAATATTAAGCTTTTTTTTTTATTTTGATACCCTTTAGATCATAATTGCTCTTTATTTAAAAAATTACGGTTTTATATTTTTAATTTTATAATTTCTGCATGCCATCTTACCAGATTTAAAATTGATGATCTTTAATCCGGAAAAACCCCTAATTCGGAATCGCCGAAATCCTTACGAGTCCAGATCAACGACTTTGTACTATATCAATAAACTGATAGTATTATGCCGCAAAATTTTAATTATTGTAAACATAATAATCATCACTTTCTCAGCAATGGTTCCAATGATAAGCAATTAGACAAAGAAAAACGGAAACTTCCAGTAATGCAATTGTAAACAAGAATGCAGATGGTTCTCATAAAAATCCCTCAAATTTACTATAGACACACATAAAAACTGTGTCATTAACGACTACAATAGTCATTTTTTAAACTGAATCTTCATAAAAATAGAAATTATGTCTCAATTTTTCTGCGAACCATAGAAAGTCTTCACGGACCAACAGTGGTCCATGGACCACCTTTGGCGATCGCTGCTCTAAACAACAAAGTTAGTTTCAAAACAAACTGAATATTAAAAAAAAAATTACACCACATATTTTAACAAAACGTTTTACTCACTAAACTGATCTTGATCACCTATTTCTACACGCCAGCTCCCAACTAATTCAGTACCTTCTGACTTTTCTGCCGCTACTTTTGCATAGTTTTCACTAAAACACAAAAGAAATTAAATTTAAAAACATGCATTATTAAGTACGTATGTTTATATACAAAAGGCTTTGATTACAAAAGACTAAAAAATAAGAAAATAAAATTTTCGTTGTAGCAATGTTAAAAATTTATTAATGGGTTATTTATAAAGAAATTTATAATGAAGGATAATTCAATCAGAAAAAGTCAAATTTTTTTAAAACAAACCTTTTTCATATCATATTTATATATGGTTTGACAATTAAACAAGATTTTGTTTAAACTCCCAAGGGTTATGAACATAACCAATTCATTACACATGAAAATGTCAGATGGCTCCTGATGTATCCAGTTTTGAGTTTGATGTATATTTGATGAAAATGAGTTAAGATATTAAATCAGAGGGATCATTTTAGAGTTAACTGGTATCCAAACAAATTCAAGCCATTGCTTTCAGTGAGAAATGATGACTTAGTAATTTTGTACATCCTTCAACATCAGCCTTCCAATATGACATATTCACTTCAGAATAGTAGTTCCTATAGACATCCTATAGTATCCTTTTTTAACTTTAATCAACAAGAGATAAAAAAAATTATAATTTGAGATAAATTCAAATAAATTTTCTATTGAATTAATTTTATTCTCAAAGAAACATTTGGGAAGCACTTCCGCAAAGGATCCGTTAAATGTAAACATCCCCAAAAAATATCGATAAACGTTCAAAGCTGGTAACCCAGCAAATTAGTTTGTTGGAGGTAGCAACCTGGTTCGCCCTTAGAGAATATTTCTCTTCTGTTCGAGGCTCCGTTTTGCCGCTGGCTAGCGGTGCGTCACTACCGGGTGAGGTGGTGAAAATCGGCGGGGGTGAATATAACACAGCTTTTTAGAATACTATGGCTGTGTTCTTACGTACTTTTTAAAAGTCTTTAAACGCGTAAAACCACACGGCTCCTAAAATATTATGATTAATGTGGGCCGCAATAATATACGTTTTAAATAATTAAGTTTTTATTTTTATTACTGTTTTTTTACCTAAAATAATAAGAATTAAATCAGTTTTCATGCTTAAATAATTAACAGACGAAATGACAGCGTTGCGTGCAAAACAAGCAAAATGAAAGTTTCTATCATAAAATGAATGCGTCGAAATGCTTTCCTTTTTTCTTTGTCTATATTGTCTTATCTTTATCTATTTTCAGACACATTGCATAAAAATATTTGATGATTGTAAAATTATTATCATAAAATTTAGCAGTAAAAAATATCAAAACTGTTAAATTTTTTGGGGTCGCAACCACAGTTTGAGAAACGCTGATTTAACACATTAAGGAAGAAAACAGCAAATTACATTGAACTACATATTTGATTTGTTTGAAATTCTTTAAAGATTAAGTTATGCATGAAAAGTTTTAACTTACTAATTCTCCAGGTATGGTTCGATTTTTTCAGGTTTGACATCATGAGCTAGAAAAATTGACAAATAATACATATCTAAAATATGTTTGAATTTTTAAGCATACATTAATGTTAAAAGACTTCTTTAAATTAGAAAATGACACATCATAAAAATTGTTTTTTTAATAAACAGCTGTATATTTAAAATCTGTATTATTATTATATTTATATCTGTATATCTTAAATACATTAAATGTTTTTATAATCTTTAAAGCTTTCTCAACTTACATAAATTTGCAGTTACAACAGTGCACAAGTTTTAACATTTAAACTAAAACCTACCAATTAGATATAAGTATTCTGTAAATAACTCCTCTTTTTTGCTGACACATACTTCTTGCATTCAGTTATATTCTTGTAAAATAAAAACAAATTACAAGACATTTTATATCCTCAGTTTGTTTTTATATAACATAATTTTGCTTTTATATTACTATAATAATTTATTTCAGATTCTTATATATATATATATATATATCTTATAATTTTATATCAGAGTAAATACTCCTGCATAATGCTCAATTTATAAAGTAGCATGAAAATATTATTATGTAACTAATGTTGTGGTTTCTTATTAAGTTAATTAAGCAATTTACAAATATTATCGCATAAAATTCAAGTTATGTAAAGTTCTATGGAATGCATTACCTAATACAGGATATTACTATATATTAAATTTAGGTTAAGGTTTTTAAAAACAAACAACCCAACAGACTTCTATTACATTTTTAAAATATGAAACTGAATGCATAGTATCTGTTGGATATTTATTCCAGACATTAACATAAATTAGCATATTTATGCCTATTACATTATTATTTTTAATCTACAGAAAGAAGGTGTTTTATTATAAATTGAATTATTTAAAGAGAATAATTTATGAAATTTAAGTTTTTATACTTAAAAAATGATAAGTGATAAAAAATTAAAAATAAGTAAATGTAACTAGCAATTTTGAAAATAAGAAGACAGCATTCAGACTAATAAGCTCTCATTAAATTATACTGATTACAACAGCAGAAATTTACCTATTAATAAACAGTCAAAGAGAAATATGAATCGATGTTTTTCACCTGTCAAACACTGAAGACAGGAAACATGAATGAATATTATTCAATTTTCAGACATTGAAGACACAAGGCTATAAATCATATCTTGTGTACCTAAAACTATTAGTATATGAATAACAATCATAGTGTTTAAATGATTTTGTGTCCATACCATTATAGCCTTATAGATCCTCAAATAATTTTGAACATTTGTTAAAAATGAAGAATATATAAAATATTTTTGTAAATGTATTTTCACATGTACCAAATGATGCCAAGATTGCAATAAAGAAAACAATTACAGTGACTTTTTCTAAGATTTATATCTTCAAAATACAGTTAAAATAATTTTTTTCTACCTTACAAACATTAAGGCATGCCCTTCCTGGCTTTTGTGCTGTTGCTCTACCCATGCACAAAACTATCGCATTTTTGCTAAAAAGAAAATCAGAAAATTGCACACATTTGGAATCACATACAAACTTGGCACCAAAATTCTACAATGTGAACAAAAAAAAAAAAAAAAAAAAAAAAAAAAAAAAGACTGTGCAATCTTGTATGGAAATCAACCAGTGAGTCACCTACAAGTTTCGATTTTTATAGCAGTGAGATGAAAATAACTGCATTTTGAAGAAAATCAATTAAAAAATTTTATGTATGTTATCTGAGTGGAATTTAATACTATAATACACAAAATAACTATTAAATGTCTATAAAGCTCCACACTTAATAGAAAGTTACCTTTTTCTCCACAGCAGATGATGAAAGAAAATATTTTCTAGAAGTATTCTTGAAATATATAAAAATATAGTTTTAGAGATAAATATATCAACTAAATTTGAGTAGAAAAGGAAAAAGGTTACTAAATCAAATTAAAAATCAATTCATAAGTAAACTAATTTTCCAACAAAAATATCTTTTTCATAATTGAAATTATAGAAGAGTTAAGCATTTTAATCTCACAACTGAAACTGAAATATGAAAATTTAACTTGTTACAAAGCGTGTTACAATTTTTGTTTTCTAACTGGTGAGAAATTATTGGAAAACTAACAGCTTATAAGTCAGCATCTCAATATCAAATGATAAAAATGATGAAGAAATTCAGTTAGAAATATCTAATTTTTAAAACCATGCTATTTCAATTATTCTTGACACTAAAGCAGTTAGGAGATTAAATATTTTAAAAAGACATTTTCAAATATAGCTTAGTTCAGTTACACCTGAAATTTAAGTGGCATTAAGAATGCTTTTAATACTGCCAGTTACAGTTGCTAATGGAGAAAGAAGCTTCAGCAAACTTAAAATAATAATAACAATAATAATAAGATACAGTACAAAGTCCGTAATCCGGACGTCCATTATCTGGCCCTCAAGGCCACAAACCTTTTTTTGTATGCTTTATGCATGCGCGTTTAATGTAATATAACGGACGGTATTAGCTAGGTTAAAATTATCTTTACTGATTTTAAAGCATTTCAGTTAATGTTGCAGATTGCGCTGTTCCTTAATCTTCTAATTGGATCCGGCTTCTTATTTTTTGCAGACTGTTAGAGCAATTTCACAGAAATTAAGCTTGAACTTTCGATTATGTCAAAAAGAGTTTCCAATTCTGGAGCTGCCAAAGGATCTACAAAGCAAAAGCATGTTTCGATGTCCATCAAACAAAAAGTGGAATTGCTGGAAAAAATGGATAAAGGCATAGCCGTCTCAAAATTATGAAAGCAGTATGACATTGGAAAATCAACGGTATATAACATAAGCAAAACAAAAGAGGAACTTTTTGAATTTTTTTGTGGATTTTGACACCCCACTTGCAATGAATAACAGAAAAAGGGTTTGTTATGCTAAAAGTGACGATGATAACACAGTGATTATTGAATGGGTCAGACAGCATGTCGCAGCGAGGGCATGCCATTGATGGTTCCAATGTTAATGGCTCAATAGAAACTATTTCATGAAGAAATGAATGTAAACACTGAGTGCACATATTCAACAGGTTGGTTAACCAAATTTAAAAATTGCAATGGTATAAGACAACTAAAAATTTCAGGTGAAAAAGCTTCAGCTGATACTGAAGCTGCTGAACAATTTGCAAATGAATTCACTGAACTCATTACCAGTGAACAATTATCTCCAGAACAAATTTACAACACTGACAAAACTGGTCTTTTCTGGCAATATGTACCACAAATTATCTTGGCAACCTCTATAGAAAAGGCTCCAACTGGTGTCAAAGAATCCTAAGCGATTAATCGGAAAACATGAATGACCTCGAGCATTTAAAGCAGTAAGGATTTTCCTCATTATATATTATCATGCAAGTATAAGAGCATGGATGACACAAGTGCTGATGAATGATTGGTTTGAAAATCATTTTATACCCAAGGCTCGGCGACATTTGAATTCGGTTGGTTTACCTGATGACTCAAAAATAATCCTGATTGTTTTTCAAGCACTTACTGTTCGGCGCATACTTCACTTAAAGTTTTAGTGAAAGATAATGTATCCATATTATTCTTCCCTCCAAATTGTATGTCTATCATTCAGCCTATGAATATGGGAATAGTACACGCACTGAAATGCAAACATAAAGTAGCACTTTTAAAATCTATGTTAAATTTTTTTAACAATGGCAAGACTATTCAAGACTTTGAAATTTTTTAGCATAATATCTACTGTGTGAACCATCGCAAGATCGTGGGAGGATGTGTCTCCAGATACATTAAAAAATGCTGGGCATAATTTATGGCCAGCTACCATATTTCATGGTGAGGACGATGAAGATGATAATCGCGAATTTGAAGGTTTTCGGACATTGTAAACTAAAGGTGAAATTTTCCAGTTATTAGATTTTGTAAAGAAATGTGGAGAAGTGGTAATAAATGAAGATGAAATAGCAGAAGTTTTTCATTGCGACGACAATGCCCCAATCATCAATCAATTAACGGGCGGCGAAATCCGTAGTATGGTTCTAGATCCAGAAAATATCGCTTCTGATAGTGAAAAAAATGACAGAGAGGTTATTGAAAATGAAAAAATTTCGATTGACAAGTTAGTTGGTATTCTCGACACAGCAATTACAGGACTCGAACAGTGGAACTTTGTAACTGAACAAGAAATTATGTCTATTTATAGAATTAAAGAGAAAGTATTAGCACAAAAAACGAAGCAACTTAAACAACTTACATAGGAAGAATTGTTTAATAAAGTAAATAAATAAATATTAAGTTTTTTTTATTATTTTTTTTATTTTGATAACCTTTAGATCATAATTGCTCTTTATTTCATTAATTACAGTTTCATATTTTTAATAGTAAAATTTCAGCATGCCATCTTACCAGATTTAAATATATGATCTATAATCTGGAAAAACTCCTAATCCAGAATCACCAAAGTCCCGACGAGTTCGGATTATGGACTTTGTACTGTATATACCACATTTTTACCTGATCTTTAAAAAAAAAAAACTTTCAAACACGAGCATATAGAGCATAAATTAACCTTTTCATGCTCATCAACAAACTCAACTCGCATTCCTGTTATGCACCGCAGTGGGTATAAGTGAACATAGCTCGCATTACAAATTTACAACTGACAGATATTACGTAAATTTGAGAAGAAGGAATTGCTTTATCTAGTGACCACTGAAGGGTTAAATGATCAAGTACAATTTGAAAAATTAGTAATAATTTTACTTTATTAAAAGCAGGGGAAAATAGGTAAGTGCTTGAAAAATTAATGCAACATTTGTTTTATTACTTACATTATTATTTATATTGGTTAATCTTTGGATTATGGTAACTTGACGATTTTTGGCAAAAATTTGGCGACCAACCCTGCTACAGCAACCTGCTAGTTTGTTTTTTGACGCCATTTTGTTTTCACGAAGAAAAGACATTTTTTTTTAATCCACATTTTTTTCCAACAATCTGCTAGCCGAATTACGCTTATGCTAGAACTTTTCTGGGACAAAAGTGCTTAATCATGATGAAGATTAGGTGCAAAACTGGGAAAAAGTACAGAATCGCCCACTGCTTGCCGCGTTTTTAAGAATTGCACATACACGGTATCATCCATGTACACGTCGACCTATTTTCATATTTTAAATTTTCTATTGAGCCATTAACATTTCACCTATTTAAAAAAAATCCCAGAATTTCACAAAAATGGCATTGCGCACACTCTTGACTTTATCCATGTACACTGTTAAAGTCCAAGCTAGTAACCTTTATCGCCTTACCAAACTGTCGCCAAACTACCTGTTACCCTATTCCAAAGCCTTTATATTATTTCAATATTATTTATCAAAAAGGAAACTTTTAATGTTTTTCATTTCAAAACAGAAATTTATTTTATGTGTCATTTTCTGAATATATAAAGCTAAGATTAATTATTATTGTAAGAGTTACTGCATTATGATTTGAAACAGTTATTATTAATGGATATGAAATGTACACATATGGTTAACTTTAACGTATGTATGCGCGTACTTATTCTTGTCTAATTTATTTTTTAATTATTTTATTTATTTATTATCAAATGGTCAGACAGCTTGCATTGTTTATGGGCCTGCGTATTTACCTTTTTGCTTCAGATGAAAAAATATATGCAACAACACAGTCAAAACATGATGTCTAAATAAAAAGGTAACATAAAAGAAGGAGGGCACTCTATATTTTGGGGTACCCCTTGGGTTATGGGCAAGTTGTTGTTTCATTTATGGTAACTTGAGTATTTTACACTTTATATTTTGGAAATCCTATCATGACACAATTGGTTGTAATGTGTGATCGCACTGATTTTGTGTTGGGAGAATATTTCTCAGAGCTTACTTCTGTGCTAGATGTCGATTAGGAAGTACGTTGCTTATTTTGTGCTTTACACTTGGCTGCTGGTGGTAAGATTAACGCGAAGGTTCTGTACGATTTGGAATGAATGGAAGAAAGCATTGATTTACTGCCGGGATTCCCAAAGTTGTCGATATCGACCCCTTTCCTAGGGGTCGACATAAACGAAAACTGATTTTGGGGGTCGACGAGGTCTAAAAATCGACCCCTATTAAATTAACACAAGTTCTTATTTAACTTTCAAGATAGGTAGGTACTGTATTGTTTATGTTGTATTACATGTACTAAGAATAATTAATATTTTTGTAGGAAACAGCATTGTTGTAGTAATGTAAAGTCTCAAGTTCGTACAAGATGAAGAACTCAGCAAGTCTGTGTGGACAAGTTTGTGCAAGATAATGAGTTCAAGCGTACGTTATTCAGGCGCATTTTGACTTGCTCTCTATTTGATGCTTTCATGATTTAACACGAATGAATTCATGATCAAGTCCAAACATGTTCCTGATATTTTACTATTTAACGAGCTTGCACTTAGGTTGAAAGTTCATTTGCGTTTTGAAATTCGTTGGAGCTTGAACGATAATAACTCATATAAGTACTCATTTATTTCAAGAGATTACAGAGTTATTACATAGCTAATTAAGTTAAGTAAAGTGACTGATTACTGAGATTTTATGATGGCGGATACGAAAAAAAATGCAGACAATACAGTTTGGACTGCTTGAAGTTCGGATTTATTGCATCTCCATCAAATCAACACTTACCGATGTATCTCATATGTAAAAGAGTATTCAGTAACGATGCCATGAAGCCTTCAAAAATGGATGACCACTTATTAAGAGTACATGCTGACAAAAAAGTAAGCCCTTGTCATTGTTTCAAGCACTTAAAGAAAAACTAGACAAAAGGCCATCTATAAGATCGATGTTTGCGTCATCATCTATTAAAGACAATGATGGTTTACGAGCGTCCTATAATATATCTTTACTAATAGCGAAGTCGGGGAAACCCAACACAATTGGAGAGCACTTATCTTACCAGCCATTACGGAGGTCTTAACAATGCATGCACAACCCACCCCGCCATGATATTTTAAAGAGGAATACCTTTGAGCAATAACACCGTTCAGAGACGCATAGACGAGATGGGAAGCAATGTGGAAAACATTTTATACAAGTTCTTACAGACCACAGATTCTCTCTCCAGTTGGACGAGTCTACATTACCCGGCAATGAAGCTCTGTTGTTAGGATATGTTCGATTTATCAAAGATGAAAATATGTGCTAAGAACTGCTTTTTGCTACATATTTAGAGACTGATAGCAGAGGAGAATCGATTTTTCAGGCCGTGGAACATTTTTTTTACTGACAAAGCTATTTCCATGGAAGAACATTGTTTCTGTTGCGACTGATGGTGCACCGTCTATGGTTGGTCGTCATTGTGGTTTTATAGCTCACTTAAAGCGACAACTGCCTGATGTACTGGTCATTCACTGCGTGATTCACAGGCAGCATTTAGTAGCAAAAAAGCTGAGTCCTTAATTGCATAAGTCTTTACAATATGTAATAAATGCTATCAACAAGATTCAAAGCAATTCTTTGAACTCTCGGTTATTTGCTCAGCTATGTGAGGAAAACAACGAAGTCTTTACTCGATTACTTCTGCACACTGAAGTTCGCTGGCTATCAAGAGGCTCTTGCTTAAAAAGATTTTCAGCCATTTTTGAATCTGTGTTGGAGTTTTTACAAGAAAACGATTTGCATTTGAAAGAAAATCTGAACAATTGTAAAACAGATATTTATTACTTGACTGATATCTTTGGAATGTTCAACAAAGTTAATTTGCAACTGCAGGGTGACGATCTTACCTTGATTAAAACAAAATCAATAATATCGGCCTTCGTGGGTAAACTAATCCTTTATAAACAAAATTTAGGCAGAAAAGAATATTTGCAGTTTCCGCATTTGTCAAAATTACCAGAAATGCTTCAAGATGATGACATTTTATTATATGTCACTCACTTTGACGCATTACACAAGGATTTTACGGAGAGGTTTGAGAATCTTTTAAATTTACAAATTCCTCAATGGATAATAAATCCGTACAATACCACAGGCATAGAAGAAGCCAATGTGATAATGCAAGAAGAGTTGATTACCATCAGCACAGACTAAGAGCTTAAGCAGAAGTTCAACCAAGGCTATCAGAAGTTCTGGTTGCAATGCAACATTGAAACACAGTATCCTACATTGTGGAACATTCCTGAAAAATACCTCATCGCTCTTCCATCATCATGCCTAGTTGAAAAAAGCTTCAGTGTGGTAATAAACATTTTGACGAAACAAAGAAACCGTTTGAAAATCAACCAAAGTGGAGATTTAAGGCTGCAACTCACAAATATCGAACCGGATGTAGCTAGATTGGTAGATAGTCACCAGGTTCATCCATCACACTGAATGTTTTATTTTCTCTTTGCGAATTAATACTTTTTTAAATATAATATCCTACCTACTCAAGATTCTTTAAGTACTTAATTTGTAATAATCATTATAAATTAAACTTGATATTTACTGAATTGTATGTCTTTTTATTTTGTTAAATTTTGATGAGAAAATGAAGTCAACTTTACTCACTTAACCAAGTGCAAAGTTTTCCAATTGGTACCTTAGTACCTAGTTATTTTGTATCAATAGGAAAAAACTAAAGATAGACCCCTTATTCATAATAGTCTGCTAACTTAAAGCATTGCTAATTCTCACTCTGTCTTCTTCTATTGACCTAAGTCAGAATGAAAAATAACACTCTGTAGCAGCTATTTTAAGTTAGCAGACCATTATGAATAAGGGGATTGATCTTAAAAGTAGGTAATTTGGCCATGGGGATCTGAGGTAACAGTTCATTTTGGAAAAAGGGTCACTTGCCCAAAATAGTTTGGGGATCCCTGATTTACTGATATGTAAATGAAGGATCTGGAAACCGGATCACACTATCAAAGATATCAACATTATCAAAGGTATGTCAGGTGTAATAAAAAGGGATTTTCGAAAGAAATGCAACCAACAATCCGACACTACGGAAGGTATTTTTGATTCTTAATTTTGTGAATTTATGTGACGATTGCAGTATACAGATTCTAGTTCAGATACTTTTACACAGTTTTGAGATGCTGTCAAGGAATTCTGTGCACCACACATTGAAGACACAGAAATTTCTAAATAAGGTAAGTCGATATTTTCTTTTTGTACTGTGTAGATCAGATAATATGTATTTCCATTTTTATGTTATCTCCTTGTTTTATTTTGATTTAAAATGCAGTTTACTGAGTTTTTTATGTTTTACTGCATTACGTTTTGGATGCCATTTCACTTGTAAGGGCGTTGCACATAAACAGGAGTGGTGCCAAAAACATCACCAATTTTACCTTGCGGGACCCTGAAACATAATTTTTGCAAGAAGAAAAAAGTCTATTAACTCAAAAATTATAGAGAAGGTCTATAGAAAGATCCTAATTTGAGAATACTATATAACTAAAACATCATGCATATACAAATACTACTATGCTTCCTAAATGCTCGGCAAACACTGAAAGCCTAGTGATATCTAACAGAAATTTCAACTCGCATCGGAAGAAAAAATCTTTAATAATCTTAAAACTGTAGTAGCTTTATTATCCAGTGATCAGTTATATGCTTTATGCATTATATAATGCCTAATCTACTTTCAGCTCTATATATATGTATTCAAATAAACATCCATAAATGCTTTACAAATTTTGGTATAATACTCAATAAACACATGAGATACTTGTCACAGTTCTTTTAAGATACGTTTTGTGCTGAATTAATTTTAACCCTTTTATATAGATTAAATTGCTATACTGGATAAATTAAACAATTCTGGCTTATTAATAAATGACTTCACTCAATCTTTAGTATACAAATATCCATAAATAAATATGTTACCATAAATACTTACTTTGCATCTCATATATTATTTCTGAAGCTGATAATAATCTTGAATGAGAATCATGACCAGGATCAATTTTTCGAACCATTAAAAGTTTACTAAACCAGCTATCACTATTAGAATTACAAGAACTTCCTATCCTAAAAGATCTGAAAACAAATACACACAAATGATGATATACACATAAGCACAAATTTATAAAAAATAGACACATGATAGTCATAATGTTAAAATACCCATTTCATCAAATAATAAGTCACAAATGTCAAATGATAAGGTACAAAATTCCATTTACAGACCTTAGACTATCAATCAGCTATAGTCACTTATAAAAAATTTATGAAAATATATCAGATCTTTCAGAAGAAGTATCAGATCTTTATCCAATATATTTGCTAGCCGTGATCGTGAATACTATGTCAATTATCGTGAATACCGAATATATCACCATTATACAATTTTATATCATGTTACATTTAAAAGCTGGAATAGATACAGTTAAAAGATAGCACAGTGTTTATGAAGTTATCACAATAATACGATTTAAAAGATGTATATTTCACGTCAATTAATTTTATTATGTGAAATAAGAAATGAAATGCACATTGTAATAAATAATTCAATGAAATGTACATTGCAAAAAATAATTCAAGTCACGACAATTAAGAATAGAAAAATACTATAATTTTTAATCGTTATTCTGATATGAAATTTTAACAAAAGTTCTTAAATAACATTCCACCTCACAGGAAACCGAACTTCAAAACTTGGATTGTATTTTCTTCCTAATGGAAACGACCTTTAATTCGACCCCGAATAAGGCATTAGTACATATATATTAATACTTTTAGCACTTCGAAAGTTAACGGACGGAAAATATAATATATATTTAGTTCACACCTTCGAAATGATGTGTTTAATCCGGTTTTCATGTGACGAACTGTATTTAGTAAGGAAGACATTCTTTTTCGTTTGCGATCGGTTTTCCTTTCGAATTAAGCGGAGACCGGATAGCTGTGTCTAATCGTCCGACATTGAACGGTTAGCCGATACACACTGAAAATGCTAGACTTCCGACTAGTTGCATAAAAACACCTTTTGTAATTTCTACGCTTTTGAATAGTTGTACGGAAAAGTTTGTGTACACTTGTGTTGGCCATAGGGAGGGTGAACACAATTCGAACGCTCACGAGTTTGTAAAAAGAATCAAAGATAGAAATTGAGGAGGAGAAATGTTCCAGTTACCTTTAGAATGGGAGCATTTGCTGAGAATACTCTGCGTTCGTCTTGTTATTTTACCACATTGGTATTGCACTTTCTGCAAGATATCTAACATCCATCGCCTTAACTCCAAGACTGTGGACTAAAACAGAATATGTAATAAGTCCTCCGAACCACCAAGTTAAAAATCTGGTGAGAGTGATTTGGTTTCCTGCACAGAGAAAAGAAGGTATTCCTACCTGCATTATCTTCCGAATGGACGTAAATGACAAGGCAAGCTAATTTTGTTATTTTGTTTAATGAATAATTTCTATGATTCTCTGACGTTTTGTTATTTCGTTTGATGAATAATTGCTGCGATTCACCGACGTATACACAGAACTTAATACAAAATGGAGAACTACAGATTTATGTAAAAATTAATCTAGTTTAAATATTTTACTTAATTTTGAAAAATATTTGGCACTTTGTACAAGCCATTCGCCTAATAGTATTGTGAATTCCTTCTCCTAAATTTTCGGTTCTGTGCTGAGTTCCAGCACACAAAGCGATTACTGCAAATAAACTGGCTGACTAGCTGAGGAAACAGGCAGCAAGATTTTGCAAAATGTTTCTGCCACAATTAATTTATTAAAACCCAAATTCAATAACAACTTCCTATTTCCATTAATAACCCTCTCCTCCATAATAAAAATCATTTTTCCTTTCGATATGACAGCTTGGCAGGACCATTAAGAAGCATATACTGAAAAAAGTGAAGAGAGAGATGGCTTCAGTTACCCCAAGTCGCAGGACGTGCGCTAGCTTTTACAAAGCTGGCAACAGAGCTAGGAAGCAGCTGCTTGTCAATCACACAGTACTTCTATTGATACGTCCGTTCCCTGGGTACTTGCACTGCTTCCGGCGCAGCAATATAGCTCTTTATGTCAGCGGTAAGAAAGAAACCCCACCTACTTATTTGTTACTCAAAAACATTACGATACCATTTTAAAAACTCAGCTTCCAGGAACTTTTCAGAGAGGGGTGCAAATAATCATTACGATCACGAAATACGATATCATTAATCTATCATACATTGCTAGGACCCAGCGGCGGCTGATGAGTTATTTAAACCACAAATATCGTATTATATTCTCGTGTGTCATGATCTAGACTCATTTTCTTACACGGCTTTTGATAAGCAATCTAGGGTAAAACGAAAGAAGAACAGGGCAGTAGCAGGTACTGGCAGTAGGAGGTGTGGGAGAAATGAGAAGAGAATCTTGTCGGCAGCGAAAGGGGGGAAAGGTCAGTGACGTTTCAAGATGGAACAGCGGATGCAAACCGCAAAATCAATTAAACGTGAATGAGTCAATTGCGGTTACTGTTGTTAGGTGTGTAGGATGTCATAGGGGTACCGATTTTTTTTCTTGGGTGCGGAGCGTGTCTGAAATTGCTAATAAAGGCCCGTCTACACGAAGCGATTTTCTCGGCCGACTTTCTGGTAGAGCAATTTAAGGCTGCGCAAGTTGGTCAGTTTCGTTACTGTTCAGCCAACTCATCAAGGATCAAGGAAGTTCGTGTTACGGAGTTCTTAGGCATAAACGCCTTTACCTCCACATCATCTGAAGAATAAAATGTCATCATCAAAAGAGGGAATTTTCTAATACGGTAAAAATTTTGTTAAGCCGAAAAAAGCTTTTAAGAATAAGTGCCTTCACACTGAAAACAAATATAAAAACTCAGAAGGTCTAATTTTCCAAAATAAGAGCCAGAATAAATTAGATAGGGGCAGTCATCTTAAACAAAATTTTTGCTAAAGACTAGAAAATAAAAGCAGGTGTTTCCTTGATACTTGATCTTTCTTTGCGAACGTCAACTTCGCGGAGGGGAAAGGACGGGGGGGGACGCTCTTACGCGTCGAAAAAGTTGCTGTGTCAGTTGGTCAGCTGACGGAGGGAGCAGTTTCGTTTCCGCCCGCTATTCAGTGCGGTCTTTAAGGCCAAATGATTGACACCTCTTAAGGGGGTGCTAAAAGCAAGTAAAAGCCCTTTTAGAAGGGCTGAAAGAGCTATTTTGAAGTAGAGAAATAGTCAATTGACTTTAGATTTAAAAATTAAGTTTCAGTCGCCTGCGACTGTAAAGCTTCTTCTTAAAGAAGCAGGAGGGGTTCCTCCGGTCAATGACTTAAGCATTCAAGACTCGAGAGGCGGGAAGGGGAAGGAACGAGAAGTAATTATTCACATGCATGTCAGTGTGAGCATACCTTGCCCGTTTAAATGGGTTTGCAGCATAATCCGGGTTGAGAACCGATCTCGGTCTCTTCCTAGATGAGGCGACTGCAGGATCATATACAGGTAGCATATGCAGCACAGGATTTGCAACATGTTGAATATTTTTGAAAAAGTTTTCCGAAAGTCGCTGTATAAAGCGATTAATGGGCATAATTTTGAGATCATTATGAATCTCTTCGTTCCTTATATACCACGGAGCTTTGAGTATTTGCCGAAGCAATTTAGATTGAAAAGTTTGGACATGTTTTCTGTTAGTCAGTGCTGATGGGCCCCAAATGGGGCATGCATAAGTCAGAACAGGCCTTATGATAGACTTGTAGAGCAAAATCTTGTTGTCAATTGACAGGTCGCTATTTAAAGCGAAGAAGGGGCGCAGATTGGATTTGACAGCCGTCGCATTCGCAATGATTTTTTGAATGTGAGGTTGCCAAGTTAATTTTGAATCAAGTAATACACCAAGATATTTATATGAAGAAACCCAGGGAATAGGTTCACCGAAGAGAATTAAGTTATCTAAACGGGGGATATTTCTTCGGATGAACAGAGTAGTAGCACATTTTGCGACATTGAATTTGATTTTATACAAACCGAGCCAGAGTTCTAAGGCTGAAAGGTAACTCTGTAATGTAGAGATTACCGTGAAGGTGTTAGAATGTTGTGCGAGGATGGCTGTATCGTCTGCATATAAAGCAAGATCGATACCAGGGGCATTAGGAATGTCATTTACGTAGAGATTGAAAGGGCCCGACGAGACTGTCTTGTGGACAGCCGGCATAGATTGAGCAGGAAGGGAAGAATTCGTGATTAACTCGCACGCGGAAACTTCGTCCCGTCAAATACGAGTTAATAATTTTAATGAAATGAGCCGAGAAACCAAGCCGCATGAGCTTGTAGATAAGTCCGTCATGTCAAACCCTATCAAAGGCTTTTGCTACGTCAAAATAGACGATACCAGTTTTTCTATCGCTTGCGAAAGCCTTCATGAATGAATTCCACTACACGTAATAACTGGTGTACAGTGAAGTGTTTAGGTCGGAAGCCGAATTGTTCCGGGATGATCAAATTTTGATCTCGACAGAATTCATTCAGGCGATTAAGCAAGACATACTCGTAGATTTTTGAGAGAAACGAGAGCAGACTAATTGGTCTGTAATTGACGGGTAAGTTTAAATTTTGTCCCGGTTTTGGAATGGGCACGACTGCTGCAGTTTTCCAACAGTCGGGAAAATAGCTTCTCCTGAGCATTAAATTAATAAGGACCGTAATCCAGACAATAAACATTACGGGGAAGTTTTTGATCATGCGATTCGAAATTGAATCTATGCCAGGGGCCTTGTCAGGTTTAATTTTATCAATGTAAACCATGACTTCAGTTGGATCAGTTGGCCTGAGGTCAGGCGTGAAAGGTTGTGATAGAAAGTCTTCAACCCGTGAATGGATGCGCCCCTGTGTAACCGGGCGGTTACAGTAGGAGTCGTTGTTTGGTGTGAATTGAGTAGCAAGGCTGTCAGCAATAGCTTCGGCCTTTTCTGAGTCTGTGTAGGCCATCTGTGCGCCATCGGCCGTTTCAAGGGGCGGAATGAGCTTGTAATGTTTGCGTAATCGGGCGGCTGCACGCCAAATCGATTTGTTTTCAGTCGTTAGGGACTCAATATAATTTTTCCACTCCGCTTGTTTTAATAAGCGGGTTTCAGTCAGTCCTTATCTCGTTTTGTATCTTGCGAAATTGGACGCGGATACTGGGATCGCGCGACCTTTGCCAGATTCTTCGCAAGTAGTTCCGCTGCTTAATTTTGAATTTAGTCTCAGGTGGGAGTCTACTAGCACCAGGGTGCTGAATAGGTTTTGAAGCCGCAGCTCTCGCTTCTTTAAGTAAAGACTCCAGATTTTTAATCTGCCTGTCAAAGTCCGCATTGCTGGAAATTTGTATGGGAGGGAGTGCTGTGTTTTCCAAAATAAATCGAAAATCGTCCCAATTTGTTGAGACTCGCTCCTGTAATTTTGAGTAACGATTTTGAACATCTAAGGTTATCAAAATAGGATAGTGATCAGAGTCTAAATCTTGTATCACTTCAATTTCATGCCTAAAGAAAATATTATAGAAAGCAGCCAGATCGAGTACTGCAGGGGACCCTCTTACAGGGTAGTAAGTCGGGAGGGTAGGAGCTATGATCTGTACATGGTTACTCTGGCACCATGAATTTAGACTAATGCCATACCTGTTCCTGTTAGGACAAAACCATGCGGTATGACGTGAATTTAGATCGCCAGCAATGATCAGGTGATTTGAAATATTCAAAAGTTTGTCAAAATCACTGACAGGGAAAGAAGGCCTTCCACGTGCAGTTGATTGTGGAGGTAAGTAAGCTGAAACAATTGTGAGTGGGGGAGAATTTTGAAGGAAAATTTGGATAATAGTCGCTTCCAAAATATTTAAATCAGGGGACGGTATTATGTGATGTTTGATCGAATGTTTCACATAAATACAAGTGCCACCACTCGGATTTCTGCCTTGTGACACCCTGTCCGTCGA